AGTGTCTGAGGAAAGGGGAAGTATGAATCTGACATTTCTGTGTAAAAACATCATGTTCTGCCTTATTCTGACCTACACCATTGGTCTGCCTCACCCCCAAACCATGGCAGCAGCTTTTCAAAACCTTAGGCAGGGGTCCTGCTGTCCCCCTCCCTTTCACTGAAGATGGCAGGTGTTAGCTAGGCCTCTGGATATTCTAGCTGCTTTGTTTCCAGTCTTTCTTTATCTATGTAACCGAAGCCTTCGACCTTAAGTGTCTGGTGTACTGTTCTCCTGAGAATTATTGCCCATTACTTTGGGAGGTTTCTACCTGGCCTCTGATTGGACCAATCTACAAACCCTCAAAAAGAGGCAAACTTTTTTAAAAAAAGGATATTTATTCATTAAAGTTCCAGGTACAAGACATAGCAACTTGAAATGGTTTAATGAATATATCCATTTTTCTTAGCATATTTTAAAGTTCATCTCTTCCCATTGTGTGTGTGTGTGTGTGTCTGTTTTCGGAGTGATTTGACTTTAAATGCAAGGATAAGGACATTTCTTGCTGCAAAATTTGCAGGGGACTGACAAGCATTTGATTGATTTGATAGGGGGGACCTGTTTCTGCAATCATTGCATGATGTTTTGTGATTTTCTTTTATGACATTGCTTTTTAATGTTGTAGATCCTGTTCGGAAATGCATTGAATAAATAAAAGTGAAGGGGGGCATGATTTTGTAAGCCACTCTGAGTCCCCATTGGGAAGAACAACAGAGTATAAATGCATAAAAATAATATCCATGTGATTTGTTGGTAGTACTTTGCAACCTGTTTTTGTTCTGTTAGTGCAAATTCTTTCCCTCTCTCTCACCAGTTATGAAATGGTGCATCACTTATCATGGGGAAAGGAGGAAGGGGACAACAGTCAGTAAACTGCGGTGGTGCAGGCAGTTAAATGCCTGCGGTAACAACACTGAACAGCCACTAAGGCTGTTCGAGACCCACCGCGGCCTGGGTGAGCTCCCGACCCTAGTCCCAGCTCCCGCCCACCCAGCGGTTCAAAAGCGCAATAAGCACAATGCGAGTAGATAAATTGGGTACCTGCCCTAGGTGGCAGGGGGCACCCTCCTCCTTGTGGGGTGTGCGGCGGCAGTTGGCGAGCGAAGCGGCGGAGCGATCGGCAAGCAGCGACCTAGTGACATGGAGCGATAGGGACTGGGTGGAGGCGGAGTCGTGGAGGCGCGGGAACGTGACGGTGCAGCGGAGCCAGCAAGGAAATAGCCGGAGCTGTGGCTGGTGCATGGCCGCGCCCCAGGATAAAAGCCCACCAGAGGAAGTCGCTGGAAGCAAGACCTGTCCCCAAAAAAAGAGGAAGCAAGATCCACCCCAAGGCACCATGTGGTTGACCGCCAAGAAGAACACCTGAAGCTCGCTGGAAAGAGCCAGCAAGAGCTGCCTGGGTGCTGGTAGGCAAACACTTCTCCCCAGTTAATGTGGCCCTAGGTAGGAAATTAAAATTGTATGTAAACCGCTCAGAGACCCTTCGGGGTTCGAGCGGTATATAAACTGAAAGTTAAATAAATAAAAAACAAAAAAGTACCAACTTCTTCAACCAAGGTTCCCTCCTCCCATAAGGATATTCATTAATAAAAGTTCAAGACATACACCACTGGCAACTACGGCTGGAATCAGGGCTTCCCACTGAATAAAATTAGACTTACTTCTGAGCAGATCTGCTTAAACTTGTTCGCTATGCACCATAGCACCTTTAGTGGAAACCTATTCTGGATGATTTATAGAACTTGATACACTTTTTGTATGTGAATCATTCCATCTTGTGTTCTTGGTCTCTCCCCTCCCCAACTCTGAATTGTTGTAAGCGGCTGCTCTGGCACATTGTCCCTTGCATTAAAAAACGGACCTGAAATTCCATTTCCATTTCATTTATTAGCTTCATTGACCCGAGGTCTCAAGCCAAACATACAAACAGCAACTATAAAATGCATTAAGAGACCTGAAATTGTATGATTACATAAAGACAACAATGTGGATTTCCTCAATACAAAGAATTACATACATCTGGACAGACATTTTGTACTTGGTGTGGGTTTGGTGTTTCAGATACTCACTCAAGAAATTCAGTGCAATTCTGTTGTTTAGAACTGCACTGGAAATGTACAAAATGAAGCTGAATGCCCTGGCTCACGTTATTTGCAAGTGTAAAACTGTCAAACCACACCCCTCCTATCATAGCTACTTTTTCAATGGAGTTACACCAGGCAAGAATGTGGCTTGGCAAATCTGAAGCCACCCATTGTTTCTAAGAGTTTCTAATTCAATAACGTGAGTACTGCGTGCAGAAAGGATAGTGACTACCCTGTATAAAATTATATGACACATGCTAGCAGCCGTTGCTGGGCTGATGTCAGAGTTCATGGTATACCTGAATAAATGAATCGGGTTTGCGCCACCTGATTGGTTAGATCATAATTTATGCCTGAGTCGTCTGTGAAGCTCATCGTAGTCTATATCAGAGATGTCGAACTCATTTGTTACGAGGGCCGGATCTGACATAAATGTCACTTTGTTGGGCTGGGCCATGTTTGCCATTAAACATGACACCAGATCTTAATTGTTATCTGTGTATTATTTGTGTAAGCTGCCCTGAGCCTGCCTCAGCAGGGAGAGCGGGGTATAAATAATAAATAAATAAATAAATACCGGAGATGTAAACTGTATAAAGGACAGCAGCTGGTAAGCTCCGAGTTGGTGTATCCTCACTGCAAGGCTCCATGGGCTGGGGGAGTGTATGCAAAGGAAAACCCATATGGGCAGACAGGAGAGCCAGTGATGCAGCAGTGGGCAGACGCTCCTATGCTGCTTGACTGCTGCAGACAAGATTGTTTTGTCATGTGGAAGCCACAATCAGAGTAGCACCCCCCATTCCCCCCTGAGCAGTCTCCTGTTCCCTCCCTTGCACTAGTTCACGAGCCGCATAAGAGCCCTGAATGGGCTGGTTCCGGCCCCTAGGCCTTATGTCTGACACCCCTGGTTTATATGATTTATGCAATGCATTATCATACTTGTCAATATATTCATTCTGACATGATCAGCCCCAGACCACCTTAGTCCCACTTCTGCTCATATTGATTACTTCTCTGAACAGAGTGTTCATATTCCTTACAACCCAGTGGCTTACACCTTTCTTCTCCATTCTGTCCTCACAACAGTCCTGTGTGGTAGATTAGGTTTAGAGCGTGTGACTGGGCAAACGTCAGCCAGGAAGCTTCCATGGCAGATCAGGGATTGGAACGTGGGATTCCCAGATCCTAATCTGACCATGCCTTCATTATCACTTGCCTTACATTTCCCTTTTCAGTTCTTTACAAGAAATCAACACACACGTATCCTCTTGAACAATTTTATACAACTTTTAAACTTAGTGATTTGTTTATTTTCTGCTGAGGAGACGTCCCATTCATTCATTGCAGCACTCTAACACTGGAGTGGCTTTTTTGTTTTGCTTTGCTCTGTTCTTGATTGTCCCCCAAGATATCTTTCTATTGTTCTTTTCTTTATGCACACTCACCTGTTTTTAAAAAAATGCTTGAATTATCTTCCTTCCCATGTTATCTGCTCTTGATTGGATCTTGTTTTAAATAAGCTTCTCTTTGTAGCATCATCTCCCCTGCCCACCCTTCTGTCGTTCATAGCCTTAGGTATAAATGTACATGCCTAATGCATGCACCTGTCAAACATCTGATTAAGTACATTCTGACTCATGAAAGCTCATGCTGGAAGAAACTTGGTTAGTCTTTAAGCTGTCATTGGACTTCCGTTTTATTTAAGAACATAAGAGAAGCCAATGTTGGATCAGGCCAATGGCCCATCCAGTCCAACACTCTGTCACACAGTGGCCAAAACTACCAGGTGTCATCAGGAGGTCCAGTAGTGGGGCCAGGACACTAGAAGCCCTCCCACTGTTGCCCCCCCAAACACCAAGAATACAGAGCATCACTTGCCCCAGACCTAGAGTTCCTACCTATACCTTGTGGCTAATAGCCACTGATGGACCTCTGCTCCATTTGTTTATCGAATTCCCTCTTGAAGCCATCCATGCTTGTAGCTGCCACCACCTCCTGTGGCAGTGAATTCCATGTGTTAATCACTCTTTGGAAGAAGAAGTACTTCCTTTTATCTGTTCTAACCTGACTGCTCAGGAATTTCATTAAGTACCCATAAGTTCTTGTATTGTGAGAAAGGGAGAAAAGTACTTCTTTCTCTACCTGTTCTGTCCCATGCATAATCTTGTAAACCTCGATCATGTCATTCCTCAGTCGTCGTTTCTCCAAGCTAAAGAGCCCCAAGCGTTTTAACCTTTCTTCATAGGGAAAGTGTTCCAACCCTTTTAACATTCTAGTTGCCCTTCTCTGCACTTTTTCCAATGCAATAATATCCTTTTTGAGGTGTGGTGACCAGAACTGTACACAGTACTCCAAATGAGGTCGCACCATTGATTTATACAGGGGCATTATGATACTGGCTGACTTGTTTTCAGTTCCGTTCCTAAGAATCCCCAGCATAGCGTTGGCCTTTTTTATTGCAGTTGCACACTGTCTCGACATTTTCATTGAGTTATCTACTACAAGATCTCTCTCTTGGTCAATCTCTGCCAGTTTGGACCCCATCAATGTGTATTTGTATTTAGGATTTTTGGCTCTAATGTGCATCACTTTGCACTTGGCCACATTGAACTCCATTTGCCACGTTGACACCCACTCGCCCATCCTCGACAGATCCCTTTTACTACTACTGTATTGGCTCCGATAAATGATTGTATAAATGTTTCTCATTTGGAATGTTTTATTTACCTTGAAAAATAAGTATCCGAATAAAAAACTGATTAGGTTAGTTCTTTTATTTATTTTCAGTGACTGAACATGTTCTTTCTCTGTTTTGCAAACAAAGTGGAAATTGGAGAATCTCCATCACATACAGCAAGTATGTAAATAAAATAAACATCACAGAGAACTCGTCGTCTGCTTTATGTGTGATGCTTGCATCTCATCCAGTACATTTCGGACAGATTCCACACAAGCCTCTCCTCTATGATCTTTCAGGCAGGCCTGCCTCCATACTTCATCAAAACTTTCATCGGAAATACTCACACCAATGTTGCGCAGAACGTGTGCAACCTATAAAGTAACAAACAAAACACCACATCTGGTAAAATTACAGGGGAGAGAGGGAACATACAAGGGACTTGTCAGTAACTGAAGATAAAAGGCCAGCATAGATATGATGCTGGGAGTCCTGCAGATGAGTTTCTGAATGGTTTTTGATAACAGGAACATATCCCCAGTTTGGGTCAAAACTGTTGCATCGGTGGAATACTAAGCTTTCCCTTGTGCTGTTTTCCCAATGTGAAATCATTCTGCATACTTGCTGTATGCCCCCACCAGAACAAACAAACAGATCCTGATCAGGACTTGTATAAGGATCCTGCATGTAGCCCTATGCACCAATTTCAATACAGGAAAACAGCACAGAGAGAAATCTTAAACCTTCCTCCTTGTCCTACGTTGTGGTCCCAGTCCACACCAGAGTCTTATGTGCCTGCTTTAAAAAAACAACAACAACACTGCTTCAGAGCTCATGTATGAAGTTCCCAGCATCCAATCCAATTATTCCTGAAATCATTCTTGATTGCAGATTAGTGAGGTTTTATTGTAACAGACTAACATTGCAATCCTGAGCAAAGCTGCATGTTTCTAAGTCCACAGAAGTCAATGTTATTAGATATTTATAACTCTGTTTAGGACTACACTATAAATGGGCTACTATAGATATGAATTCTAACCAAACTTGGAGTAACCGCATCATGACCTGATGTCATATGTAGCTCTTTCATGGTCCTTTATTTAAATCCTCCTCCCTCCCTCTGCAACCATTTTTTCATCAAACGGCTTCCCCCCCACGTCTCCGTGGATGCGCACACGCACCCAACGGAGCATGCGCATTCGTAGTGTACACAAAAAAAGAAAACCAGTTCGCCGCGCCGCGCGCTTCTTCATTGCGCGCAGGCGTGTGTTGTGATCGGCACCTCTCCCTTGCCATGGAACCTCCACAGTACCTCCACAGAACCTCCACAGTAGGTCTGATCGCTTTACTGCATGTTAGTTTGCCCCGGGGCAAACAGCCACACTTCTCCTCTGCAGTTTCCTGCCCGTGTGACAGGGGCCATATATATATATATATATGGGTGCACAATGTGCATTAGTAAGGGTGGAAAATCAAAACCAAGACCACAGTTCTGCAAGGAAAATGCAAGAATATATGGGAAATGTGCAAAGGTTGGAACTCAGGCAAGTGAGGCACAAAAGCCCAATAAAATTATACAACAGGGCTAGTCTGGGAGTCTGGACACGCCTGTAAATTCCAAGGTTGCTTTGAAGCATAATAAAAAACACAATAAACAACTGGAAAAAGCAAATATTTTGTTATCTTACTTTGAATGTATTAGATATATGATGTGAAAATACAGTAATAGCCAAGGAAACCTCTGCAGTATGTTTTGAAGTTTCAGTGTTCACAAGATTTGATATAGCTAAGATCTGTGAACTCCTAGATAACATATACAACATCACGTAATTAGATTATTCCACTGGGAGGAAAAAGAAAAGAAGCTCATGGACATGTCAACCTTGTTCTAAGCATCTCTTGAATCTCTGACAGCATCCACGTGGAGAAAATTCTCTGCTTTGCATTCATTGCTGATGCAAATGCATAGGCATGCACAATGATGAGAGCACTTCCACATGGGGGGTTTGCATACTTTCCTTGGTCAACCTCCATTCCCCCTGCATTTTTTCTCTGCTGGACCAATGGAGAGCTTTTTGAGGGCCTTTCTCTTTAACTGGGAAACTTAAAAAAACCCATCTGCTGAGGAATGGGTAGAAATGTCACTATGAGGGGCTGACAGAAGGAAAATGGCACCAGTGTGGATGGAACTCGTGCACAGGCAAACCTTCCAGTCCACACAGTGTGCTGAGGTTCTTGGACTCTGATCTTTCCAAGAAGACTGGACCAAAGTTTGAAAAAGAACATACTGAGGTCAGTGAAAGGATAACTGGAGCAAGATGACATCACAACATTGTGTGGCTGCTCAAAAAAAGGGGGGGGCTTAAGTTTGGATGCCAAAGCACGGAAACAATCAAAGGCACCCTAGTGTCTCAAACAGTTCCATAAACCACTAACTACATTTTTATTTGAGAAATATACTACCTTACTGGATTTTTCTAAATCAGAGAGGTGGCAGACTATGCATCTATTCCACATGTATGCTGTAAGAATGAGGTCTGAAAAGCAATCTTCTGAATCAAGGTACTCTACCTCTTCTTTTGGCCTTGTCTTGAAGAAGTCTGTCTCATATACACCTTTATTGCTATAGATAGATGGATATAATAATGCATATGCACTGGCTTGATCTCCATAATTAGTGATGTCACTAATGCGTCGAAAGCGAGGTGCAGGGATATCTGCACGAATGGTTGGAACTCCATATAATGGGAAAACTGCGGGAAAGCACATGACACAAATAAAATAAAATAAACTGTTATGTTGGAGGCATTAATTCGCATAGAATTACACCTTGTCAATCTCCAGCAAAGCAAGTATAAGTCCTTTAAAAGAAAAGCTAGCTTTCCAATTTAAAAGTTTATTTTGGAAAGGCAGTACAAACATCCATTCTTCTAATTCTTTCTGCACAGCTGGATTTTTTGTTGCTATGCCCAACTGTGTGAGGAAACAAAAATACCAAGATGTTATGATGGAACTAGGTTCTTTCACCATGAACACAACCCTGCCAAGTCAACCACTTTTTAACTCTCGCTGATTCAAGGAGGTGAATTATAGCTTATTTCTCTGGTTGAAATCAATGAGAAAACTTTGACTGTGTTATAGCCTATATTTGTAAGCCAGTTGAAATCAGACTTATACTAGTATCTGTTTTACTGAATATTTGTTCAAGATGATTATCCAAAATAAACCATCAAAATTTAATTTAAAATTGACATTTGACATAATTCTTGCAAGGAACATGTACACAGTTCTTTTCTCAGAGTCTAGATTATTGTTAACACATCTGCACCCTAACCCCCCCCCCCAAAAAAAAAAAACATGTAGAGAATGCTTCTGGTCCCAGTCTACGTAAGGGTGATGGAAATTAACACTGCAACTATGCAGGCTCTGTGGTTACTTAGGGACAAACTAGAACTCAAGACAATGGAACCCACCCAGACTTAACAGAGATATTGGTTTCTTATCACACTAAACACACTAATATCATTTAGTTCTCACATCTGTTTTTAAACTCTTTTGTTATGCTCTGTGCTAATTTGCTGCTATTCACAGGTCTTACCAATTTACTGCGCAATTACTTATGCATCTTGATTCTAATTAGCCCTTTCTGGCAACACCCTCCCAACCCTCTACCTATATGTAATGGTTGGTGACCTCTGTTTCAGTGTATCTGAAGAAGTGTGTGTGTACATGAAAACTTATAAAACTTTGTTGGTCTTAAAGATGCCACTGGACTCAAACTTTTTTCTGCTGCTTCGGACCAACACAGCTACCCACATGAATCTAAGCATTTAAAATGTATTAGCTAATGTAGTAACAAAAAATAGAAGTGCTTCTACCTACATGTGGAAGGAATGCCTCCTACGACTGCGTTATACTGAGAAGAAGTTGTACGATAATCAGAAAACACACGATCTGTTGGTCTTGAAAGTGTTCTGGGTGTCAATTCTGAACTTCCTGGCTCCTTTTGTACTATGTTTTCAGGCTTTAGAATAGCATTTTCATCTGTTTTGTTTTCTGTACCTTCAGGGGGAGTGAGATCTAAAGGAGCTCTTCTTTTCCCTGTAAAGAGTAAATGATATCAAAATAGCAAACACTATCACAAAGACTGGCAAAACCCTAAGCCATGCATCATAGACTTGTCCCTATAATAGTCCTCTGTAGGATTTTCATGCCTGACAGCCATTTCCTCCTATAGGAGGTGGAAGGCACAGTCTAGACTAAGAAAAACTTTGGTAGACATCACAAGAAAGCTGTCACAAGTCTATGAATGAGAGAACAAGTATAAAGAAAACAGTCATGAGAGTCTGACCCACAAATCAAGCAGTCAACAAGATTTGCAAAAATGCTTCCTGTGTATTAGTCTAAATTCCTACAAATCAGAAGAAAATCCTAGAACAAACATACATCATTAAAGATGCCTCATCAACGTAGTCTCCAGATTATATAACAATGTTTCAAAATTGGATCTTCCTCAGGAATATTAGAGTGGTACAAAAGCTCTCTTGCTCTTAAAGTGCTTTACAACAAGTCATGAAAGATAATACAATTCATTCAAATAGGATGCTGATCTCAATATGTTCAGGCTCAAATATGCTGCTAAGCTTCTAATGGATCCCAGGTGTCTCACTTTTGTACCACTCTAATATTCCTGAGGAAGATCCAATTTTGAAACGTTGTTATATAATTCGGAGACAACGTTGATGATGTATCTTTGATGATGTATGTTTGTTCTAGGATTTTGTTATGATTTGTAGGAATTTAGACTAATACACAGGAAGCATTTTTCGCAAGTCTTGTTGACTGTTTGATTTGTGGGTCAGACTCTCACGATGGTTTTCTTTATATGAGTCTATGAATGACATTTTCTAAAATGGCCACACTCATTTTCCCATAACATCTGTCTTATGAACCATAGCCATTCATAAATTTATGTCAAATTACAATTTTTTTGCTGTGTCTGTGCTAATACTAACATCCTCAAAACTTCAGAAGTGACACAGCAAGATACAACAATAAAAATGAAACAAAGGTATTTAAATCTGTCCACCTAGCATCTTCACAAGGAGTTTTTAGTTTTGTGGCACACTGTACGAAATGACAAATATGTACTTCTAAAGCCACTCATTTGATGTGAAATTATGTGACAGATATTGCCTTTTTTTCTTTTCCTGTGTAACCTTGTAAGCATACCCCCTTTGAATTCCCAGAGATCAGTCCTATTTTTGTTGTTGTTGTTGTTCCTAAGGAATTAAAGATGAATTTTTATTGGCTGCACCGGACAATTTTGACCATGTAGACCACTTATCACTTAATAGAACACTGAGTGATCTTGACATTGTTCAAATACTTCTCCAAATTCAACCTTTTAGCCACTGGTATTATCTAATGCTGTTTAAAGCAGGCCTTTAGTTCGGCATCAAAATCACAGTGCTAAATTTGTCATGCCGTTTCTTATGACTACAGCTTACTACAATTTACCTACAGAGATCAAGGCATTTGCTTTGTCTCAAACATCAAATAAAGACGCTGGCTGATATAAAGTTCGTGTTAAGTCTAGTGAAAGCAGGTGTCAGCTCAATGATATTCTTGTACCTTCATGGACTATGTCATGCATTAATTTCATATGCAAATATGATAATAATGTATGCTGGATCCCTATCATATAGTCCCATCTCACAGTCAGATAAGGGAACAGAACAAGTGTGATACAGGGGTTGGACTAGGATCTAGGAGACCCAGCTTTAAATCCCAACTCTGCCATGGAACTCACTGAGTGACGTGAGGGTGAGCAGTGTAGTGGCCAAATCTGCAGATGACACAAAATTATTCAGAATGGTGAAAACCCAGACGGACTGTGAAGAGCTCCAGGAGGATCTCCACTAACTTGGTGAGTGGTCAACAAAGGTCAGTGTTGGTAAGTGTAAGGTGATGCACATTGGGACAAAGAAAAATCCCAGCTTTATATGCTAATAAAGTATTGTATTTGCTGAGATTGAGAGGGATAGACACCTTGGGGTCATAGTAAGTAGTTCAGTGAAAATGTCAGCACAGTGTGCCACAGCAGTGAAAAAGGCAAACTGTTTGGAGAGTATTATTAGGAAAGGGATTGAAACTAAAATATCCAATATTAGAATGCACCTGTATAAATATAGGGTGGAATAATGTGTGCAGCTCTGGTCCCCAAAAGGGCATCGCAGAGCTGGAAACAAGGGCAACCAAGATGATTAAGGGGTTGAAGCACCTTTCCTATGAGGAAAGCCTGAAGAGTTTGGGACTTTTCCGTTTAGAAAAGAGACAACTAAGGGGATACATGATAGAGTTTTATAAAATTATGCAAAGAGTGGAGAGAACTTTTTCTCCCCAAATGCTAGAACCTGAGGGCTGCCAATGAAGCTGATGGGAAGTAGATTCAAAAGGAAATACTTCTTCACCCATTTAGTGATTAAAATGTGGAATTTACAGCCAGAGGATGTAGTGATGGCAACGAGCATAGTCAGCTTTAAAAGGGGATTAGACATAATCATGGGAGATAGTTCTGTCAGCAGCTACTATCCATGGTGACTACAGGGAACCTTCACATTCAGAGGCAAAACCTCTGAATACCAGTGCCAGGAGACACTGGCCTCTATGCCCTGTTTTTGGCCCTCCAGAGGAACTGGTTGTCCACTGTGTGAGACAGGATGCTGGACTAGATGGACCTCTGGTCTGATCCAGCAGAGCTCTTCTTCTGTTATGACCTTGACCCAATTATTCTCTCATGGCCTAACCCCTCTCATGGCCTAACCCCCCTCACATGACTGTGGTGAGAATTAAATGAGGAAGGAAGAACCATGTGTGCAGATCAGAGTTCCTTGCAGAAAGAGCAGGATAAACATGTCTAGATATATAGGATGCATAACTTTCTTAGTATTTTACCACATCTCAGAAAGACTGCATTTCTTTTCTTCTGTGATAACGGTTTGTATCACATAATTTATGGTCTTGTTTCAAATCGTTCAAGTGGATTTGATAGCCTACAATTGGTCATTTTCAAAGCCAAAGTTTTGCAGCACTGCGTAGGCAAAGAAATAGAATTACTGGTGCTTTAGTGAAAACAGGAGCCTTGGTATCAATGTTGTAGAGGTAGAAACAGTAGTGGATAGTACACATTATGTGAGATCTCTCCACAGAATATTAATCCTAGCTGAAGGAATACAGTGCATGAAATGGAATGTATTTTGGATGGTGACAGGCAGTAGTAAATATTTGGACATTCTTGATGCAATTTGGCAAATGCTATTTAAGGCAAGAAATTCTGCATAATTCCAGGCAGTTTGATGTGGTACTTTCCATAATCAGCTGAATTAACTGAAGCATAATAAATCAAAACATTGTCTCCAAGAATTCTCCAAGAGTTGTCAGGAGAAATCACAAATGTGACAAATACATGTTTATTGGGATCACTTTCTTGATGTTGTTGGACATGGAAGACCTCATTGCTTCAGACAGGAAAGCTGACTGAGAAGATTACCTTCAAATGACTTATCCTTCCAATCTTCCACAAATGTGACAGCATTAATTTATCTACCATACATATCGTAGTATGCTGAGAAAATGCATCAAGTTGAAACTAACTGTTCATACTATGTTTTTAAAAGCAGGCCATTTTGTTGTGGATCAGAACCAAGGAGATTTCACTGCATTTACTCCTGACATAAAGTCAGAGCAAACAATACAGAGATAAAATAAAATCATTAAACGGCCAACAAGACAGGTTCAATATATTTCTGAAAAGGAACTGATGTATATCAAAGTTCTGACAATGAGTAATGCCTTTTAAAAATTTGCCGATGCTGAGGCAAGCTACTGTGAAATGATAATATACCATGTGATGGCCGGAAATACAAATCAGGAGCTGCATGCAAGTGTATTCAAGTATCCAAAAAATATATGGTATAAACAGGGAATCCTTACACTGCACAGTTTCATTACTAAGCAACAAGTCCATGCAGATGTGGTTTCACAGAAAACAGCACTGTAGGTTACACTGAATTTATTTATTTATTTATTTATATTTACATTTATATCCCGCCCTCCCCGCCATTCGGCAGGCTCAGGGCAGCTAACAACATATATAAAAATACATTAAAAATACATTAAAACTGTCAGTCTAAAATCATACAACTTATATTAAAAGATGGCAAATCTTCCGATATTGACTGTCAACTGAACACTGTCCACCAGCTTACGCCCAGCTATAAACCCTTGGTTGGTGGCACTGTTGGTACTGTCGGTACCAATAGTGGTACAGTTGTTGGCACAGTTGGTAATCAGGCCAGGGCCAGTTGTTGACACAGTTGGTAATCAGGCCAGGGCTAGGGCCACGGCCATACAGCTAATTAACAAAGCAAAATTACCTATGGCTAGCTACGCTTTGCAGCAGAACTGACCACAGACATTCTGTTATCAGAATGGGAGAAAATGTGCAAGATCACAGGCTACACTTTCACAAGAACATCTGCACTGCCAACCTGTATTGTTGAGTTTATGCCTAGAAATTAGGTGAATAAGAAGTGGACATCTCATTGAGTTGAAGACATGTTGGAAAGTGTCAGAACTGTACTCACATTTGTGATATGCAGCAGACTGACTTCAACCTGGATAGCTACACTGAAAACTCCATAAAAGAATGCAAATGGCAGAGAAGGATTGCGTCATATCCTTAGAAATAGCAAACACTGAATGGGATAGAGCTGTTCCTTTCCAGATTCTGATCCCTCTTCAGGAACAAGAAAATTATGAAAGCAACTGCAAAAATGTTTTCTTTTTCCTGAACAAGGCAGAAATGGTGTGCATTAAAACAGTCATTAGCAGATGTGTTATTAACAGGGATGGCATGGCTGTTACTTTAGAAATTGCTGGGGATATCTGGAAAACTCACTAGACGAGGCAGATGTTTCAACTAACCCCCAATGCTCACAAAGCAGTGCTTTTCAGCATGAAAAGTTAAAGACAGACGTGATTATTATTCCTTTTTCGTCATAAAAGGAGGACACAATGAACTATGAGATAGAGTTGGCCAAGCATGTGGCACTGCTAGGTACAATTCTCCACACATCTTTACCATGAAACTGAGCCCTCTTTAATGTTCTGTAATACTGAACATTAATATTCTCTGACAAGGTCATTGTTTATCACATTGAATACAGAAGTTACACCATCCAAGCTGGTTACACCATCTTGGTCATAGCTGTACCTAAATATCCATGAACACTAATGGGTCAAGAAGAATTTCTAAACTGAAGACCTGCTCTCTAAAGAGGGAGTACAATTCTATCTTCAGCAGTGGAATCCCTTTCTCCAAGTTCATCACAGCATCCCACCATCAATATTTCTGCTTTTCCTGGGCTACGCTGAGCTCATTTGCTCACATCCAGCTCATTGCTGTTTCCAGCTACTGATTCTGGACCAAGCATCTAGGTATGATCAATATACTCTATATGAATGATATATCACTCAAAATACCTGACAAGTTTACCCAGAAGTTTCATGAAGATATCAAATATGCTGAATGTTATCTTGTAGCATGCTCTAAAAAACAGTAGCCCATCTTCTGGAATCTACTCGCTTGACAGAAATGGAGGCACTCTGGAACTGTGCCCCCAACTTGTACAGGTGATCCCAGAAGACCATCATGGTTGACAGTTTCAAAAGATATGGAGAAATCAAGAAGAATCAAGGACCTATCTTCCAATGGAGGTCATCAACCTGAGTCAGGATGATCTCTGTGTCAAACCCAGGACTAGAACTAGATTTACAAAGGATTCAGATGGTTGGTTTCACCCAGGAAAGTCTGGAGCTGAATCACCACCATATGCTGAAACGCATTGCCCAGGAATGCAAGATTAGAAAGAAGGTGGTGATAAATAAAGTATCTGGATCCAAAGATGGCTTTTAAAGTTCTGTCAGCACTGTCTCTTTTAAGGAAGTCATTTCCAGTCTTCTTGAAAAGAGGTATTGACAGCACTCTCTGGAAAAAGCAAGAATCCACTTCACCTCCCGAACAAAATATTTAGTCCCTTGGCTGTGAAACAGAAACTGCTAGCACAGATAAAGACATGGTAATGTACTCTTGAGCCGTATGGAAGAAGGTGGGATATACATTTAATAAAGATACTTTGGGTGTCTTAAGGAGGAGGGGAGGGCGGGATATCAATCGAAAAAAGAAATATATCTTAGAATACATTGGTTGTAACACCTCACACAGTACTGAAAGGAGAAACATGTCTATTCCATTTTACTGCTGATTCCAAATCTCCAGTTTCCTACAGAGAACAGTCTAATGAATCAGACATCTATCAAGAGCCAGTGTGGTACAGTGGTTAGAGTATCAGACTGGGATGTAGGAGACCCAAGTTTGAATCTCCACTGTATCATGGAACGTTGCTGGGTGATCTGGAGCCAGTCACACTCAAACCTAATTTAACCTATTTCACAAGGTTGCTGTGAAGATAAAATTTTCCTCCCCAGGAAAATGAGGTAAGCCACACTGGGTTCCCCACACAAGAATAAAGGAAGAAAATCAATAAATATAGAAATCAACTCTATGAATTTAATTATCTCCGAAAGTTTACCACATACCTTTTGTAATTATGTTTTTTTCATACTCGCCAAGAGACATTTTGTCTTTCCAGTTGAGGAAGTTTACAAACTCCAGATAGTCAATAAAGCCATCTTTATCCAAATCACAGAAATCAAATAAAGCATCCAGAAGCTCTGCATCCAAGTCAATATTAAGCTGAAAGCAGGCCTTGTTTAAGTCGTCTTTGCTTATTTTCCCATCACCATCCTAGGAGCACAAAATCAGGTTGCCATCATGCTTTATAATGTGTTTTTCAATACTGGCCTCACTAACCAATACATCTGCATGAGGACTATATTGACTTCATTATGCAAAATGGATTCTTAGCCTACAAGCCAGTGGTCTGTGTCCTACCACTCCACAGAGCAATGTTTGAAGACGTTTTCCAGCCCTAAGGAGCTTTCTTCTAACTTAAGTGACTCTTCCATTGGAGGAAGTTCCAGGCTAAGGTAGGACGCATGCCAGTGGATGCATCCTGACATCATGATGAACCTCTTGCTTGTTTTGAATGGGCATGATCCTGGCTTGTTTGCTGTACTCCTCCCACTCCACATGCAGGGAGAGTTTGACTGAAAGCTTCATGGTTTAAGAAGCTTTGGATCATACCCTAGTTTCCTGTAAAATCTGAACGCAGGCACCTAGGCAAATCATTTTTTCCTCCACAAACTAAGATTCGAAACTGGAATTAAATGATCATTTAGAATCCCATTTTGCATTGAGTAAATGAACTCTTACTTTGCCCAGGTATGTGCAACTGGATGTCTCTGCAAATTATAGTTTGATTTGAGGCTTCCTAAACAAGGACACTTGCCACTGAGCTCTGAGCAAGAGGACAGAGAGAGAGTGTGAGAGTACAGCAAACAAACAAGCAGCAGTTTGTTATGACATATGTGACATCTGAATGCCAAGGACTGTGTAAAGGCTCCCCAGAGAGAGTCAATGCCTGAGATGAAACTGGTATAATTCTGTGATCACACATTAACAAAACAAAAAAAGAAGCAAAGTTCTATTTGTGATATATAAAGAATAAATTTTGGATTCAAATTTGATGCTCATATTTAGGAATAATACTGGCAACTGAGCATACATATCTATCAGGGCTCTTTTTGTAGAAAAAGCCCAGCAGGAACTCATTAGCATAATAGGCCACACCCAACAGCAGGAACTCATTAGCCTATTAGTCCACACCCCTGACAGCACAGCTGATTACCACATTAGGCGGCACCCCCATGTTACCAGAAGTGTGGTCATCCAGCCACACCCACCTTTTGCTTTTTATTCTGTTTACCTTGTTTGTTGTCAAAACCCAGGGCCTTTTTTTGTAGCAGGGACTCCTTTGCATGTTAGGCCACACACCCCTAATGTAGCCAATCCTAATGAGTTTCTGCTGTTGGGTGTGGCCTATTATGCTAATGAGTTCCTGCTGGGCGTGGCCAACTTGGGAGCCAGCCGGAACTCCGTTCCTGTGCGTTCCTGCCCAAAAATAGCCCTGCATATCTTATCCAGCATTCACATAAAATGTTCACCTCATCTCGGAACTCCACTAACCTTATCATAGTGCCTGAATGCTTCTAATAATGTTTCAAAGTTGTGGTAATTAGCTTTCTTCAAATTCTGTCGAATTGCAGTAAAAACAGCCCGTTCTCTGTCTTTCCCTCGTAGGTATTCACTAGGAAGCCGATAATGAAGAAGGTCCCCAACACCTGCACAAGCAATCAATCAACTAATAAAACCAAAGCTCTCCAAGATGATTCTTTTAGTTCAGTACCTGGAACGGACTTATTCTGAGTCAGTCCATTGGTCTGTCAGGATCTACTCTGACTGGCAGCAGCTCTCCATGGTCTTTGACATCCCCTTCTAACTGATCCTTTTTAACTGGAGATGCCGGGGATGAAATCTGGGATGCTCTGCATGCAAAACAGATGTTCCACCACTAAGCCACAACCCCTCCTCTCGGTAACTGTTATTTTTGCAAGGCCTTAACACATGGTAAGCTTCTGGACCCAGTCTTGCTGATGAATGGACCGTTTGGTGAAGTTGCCAGAAGTGCCTTCTTTCAGTTACACCTGGCTAATGATCTGTCCTTCCGTTTATCTGACCTAGCCATGCTCATTCATGCAACTGTAAGCTTTTGATGGGGCTGCTGTAACACACTCAGCATGAGGCTGTGGCTCAGTGATAAAACACTTGCTTTCCATACAGAAGGTCCCAGGTTCAAACTTCAGTATCTCCAGTTAACAGAATAAGATAACCACCCCTTTATAACAGGACAGGCCTCATCCTTCCCTTTCTGGGAATGTGGAGTTGACTGTAACTGGCTAACACAAGCAAAACACTAGACAATGACAGTGATTTTTTCCAAGTAAAGGACCAACATAGGAATATCATAACAAAGTGGTGGGGGAGGGTCAGCGCTCTTGTTTCATCTTGCATCACATGAGACAAGTCAAAATCTTGAAGTTAGGGCTGCAGAGTGGTTAAGGAATTTCCTGTGTACCACCCCCCCCCCCCCAATTGAACCAAATTTCTATTTGGATAATTTCTTAGCCACTTTCCAGCAAATTGCTTGAGCTGCCTTACTTTACAGCCTGTGTAAAATGATACAAACAACAATCCATAACCAAACAGGACATAAAATAGGCAGGGAATCAGATAATAGGTGACATGAAAGAATTCTGCCTGAGACCTTGGAGAGCTGCTACCAGTCTGAGTAGATGAGTCTGAGCTTGCTGAAGCAACTGTCTGATTCAATAGAAGGCAGCATCACGTGTATCCTTGAAGACAGGCTGAACGAGTGTGGAAAACTACTTATAGAAAAATGTACAAAGTGGAATTTTTTCATCAGGCCTTTTTTCTAATTAGGCAAATTGAATTTGGGATGTATTAGATCTGTCTAGGTCAGTTGTTTAGTTACCTGGCTAATGACTAATAAAGGTAAAGGTAAAGGTTCCCTCGCTTGAAAGCCGACTCTAGGGTTGCGGTGCTCATCTCCGTTTCCAAGCCGAAGAGCCAGTGCTGTCCGAAGACGTTTCCGTGGTCATGTGGCCGGCATGACTAAACACCAAGGCGCACGGAGCGCTGTTACCTTCCCACTAAAGTGGTCCCTATTTATCTACTTGCAATTTCTTGCTTTCGAACTGCTAGGTTGGCAGGAGATGGAATGAGAGACGGGAGCTCACTCCGTCATGCGGCGCACTCGGGTCTCGAACTGCTGAGCTGCCAGCCCTCCACAGCCTGCCGTTCAGCGTCTTAACCACTTGAGCCACCGCAGCTCCGAATGACTAATAACTAATGACTAATAACCCTATGCAAAATTATGCTTCTGTGTCTTAGAGGCACTGCGTTTCATATGATCTTTTGCTTTGGTGTATTTAAGCTGTTTTGGGTCTTAGGAGAAAGGGGGTACAAATCCTTTTAATAAATATTTAAACAAAAATATATATAATGAGGCTCTGAGTAAAGTATGAGGAAGAATCTTATATACTTGCCGTGATCGTCAGGTTTTAGGCATATCCCAAATATGTGGTCTGGAGGAACATTAAGCGTATCTGCTATGCTGTAAGAGAAAAGAATCTGCTAAATAAGTGTTTGATTTTTCACCCAAGTGTAATCTTTGTTCTAGAAGAGAAAACTAAATCAGGGCTGTCAGTTCACCTTGTCCTATATGTAAAGATTAAAGACAACTGATGAAGACATTTGGCAAGAGTTCACCTGTAATGTGTTCACTGGGGCTTTTCCCACATGAATCAAAGCTACAACCACTGATAATCCATTTCTTTTACAATTCTTTTTTCCTTTTAGCACATAGTAATAACTGTCAAAAAATATTTGCACAGCAGGCAACGAATGTCTTTGATCTTGATGCTTATATTTTCTTGAGAGAGAGTGAGACAGAGGAAGAAAGAAACTCAAGCAGCCTAAATAAATGAACGTTCATATCTGTTAAATAAGAAAACAACTTAAGAACTCTTGTCATACATCTATAAAAAAGGAGAAACTGTGTTTTTAGTGCATTAATTGCAGCCAAGCAAAGATTTATATATGAAAAAAACTGAAGAACAAGAAGACTCCTGCTGGATCAGACCAATGGTCTATCTAGTCCAGTATACTGTCTCACAAAGTGGCCAGCCAGTTCCTCTGGATGGCCAACAACAGGGCATAGAGGCTGAAGCCTTCCCTGATGTTGCCTCCTGGCTCTAGGATTCAGAGGTTTAGTACCTCTGAATGTGGAGGCTCACTTCAGTCACCCTGGCTAGTAGCCATAACTTATTTTTAAAGGGCTTATTGGAGATAAATTTTAAACAAGATTTCACACCATCCTTTTCTTTTTAAGGAACTTGGATGAATCAGTTTCTTGATATCTATAAATCCTTGAACTGAAAGGATAATTAATAATGTAAGACATCCCTGACATGTTAGCTCCAGTTCAATCCCAAATTAACCTTTACTTAAGGTCTACTTTACTTTTGGCTTTTACTTAAGCCCAGATCATATTTGGGCCTCTGTCTTCCCCAACACACCAGCCAAACATCGCTCATTTTTCTTTTATGTAACACCAGTGTATTGTGAATGTTGAGCCTTATTTTTCAAACAAAAGACAAATTCAGAAGCTACACAGCAGCCCCTCAGTGGCTGTGGCTGCAGGAAGAAAACTGTAAATCATTCCATTAGCTCCCTGGAGGGGCTTTATTTATGCCATAAATCTGGATATTCTGGTAGTTTGCCATTAACTTCCCTCCACACATTCCTACACTGCCAAGTTCACTACTACTCTTCAGCTGACTGGCAGACTAAGTACAGAGGCATAACGTATTCACAGGGCAAGTTTCTATATTATGTTAAACAAATTGTTAAACAGTAATTGTGGTGATAATATGAACCTGCTGGTATTGATCATCGTGCAGCAAGGCTTCACATAGCTTGGCCTATTACTATCACCTCAGCCTCTTCCAGCCTGAAAGAATGTCTTAAAATCAGAGCCAAGGGGATGGGAGGCAATGTGGCTTACTACACAATGGCAGATGCTAGCAGTCTGAATCTGCTAACATCACTTCCAGCTCCCCTGACAAAAAGCTGTAGGTCAGGAATAAAAACCTTATCACAATTTGCAAGCAGAGGTATCGAACTCATTTGTTACGAGGGCTGGATCTGACATAAAATGTCACTTTGCTGGACTGGGCCATGTATGCCATAAAAGGAGGACTTATTAAGAAAACAAAATATCAAATTAACTTGGTGGGACAAGAATATAATTAATACTAGATATATGATTGATAAAAAAACAGGTTTCTGCATAAATCAAAATGAAATAGATAAGATCTGACTCTCCTCCAATGATAAGTTAATTCAAAAATTATACTCTAAGTTACTGGAGGAAGAATTAGAAAAACTGCAGACAAGGTTGTTCTGCCATGCTAAAGCCACAATGGAATGGATCCGCCCACTCCCCCCAGCACTCCCGTCCTTGCATCAGTTGCTTGTGGGCCACATAAGAGCCCTGGACGAGCTGGTTCCAGCCCCTGGGCCTTAAGTTTGACACTCCTGTGCAAGCCAGTTTCTAATAAATTTAACAATGGAACCAATTCTACCACAAAGACCCTCTTGATTCACTTACGGATCAAGGACTCTTCCAAGCTGAGGCTGAAATTTTTCCTTGAAATCATCACTTATTTTGGACATGTTCTACAGGTGGCACTGGACCCCTGATAGAATTGCCAAATGTTTCCCCAAAGCTTCCAATCTATGTTGGAGATTTGGGAAGCCACATAAGAGCCCTGGACGAGCTGGTTCCAGCCCCTGGGCCTTAAGTTTGACACTCCTGTGCAAGCCAGTTTCTAATAAATTTAACAATGGAGCCAATTCTACCACAAAGACCCTCTTGATTCACTTACGGATCAAGGACTCTTCCAAGCTGAGGCTGAAATTTTTCCTTGAAATCATCACTTATTTTGGACACAATTTTTGCTGACTTCTTCCTGCAGAATTAATAAAACTACAACTGTAACATACTTCCTCCTCTTTGCCACTCTGTCTTAAAGACCAAGGAGGGTTCCTCAGTAAAGCACAATTTTAACTTGTAGGGGTAAAATGCTTGATAAGCAGTTTCTATTGTACAACTCACAGCAAGACAAGGCTTGGAAGACAAAATGTAATTCTCATTTCAAATAATTGTAACATGCCATTATGCAGTTCATGAATCACACTGGAATATTATCTGAGAGGCCATTATGAAAGGAAGCCCTGCATAAAACTTGACTCTGTCAAGCAAACGACAATATGGTAGCACAATGTATGCTGTCACTGTTTTTATGCAAATCCAGATCAATTGTTTATTTTAAAGATGTTTCATGTTCAAAGTCTGTGTCCAATGAAACAAGGTTTCAGTCCTGGTAAATGCATTAAGGAGTGGAAGAAACTATTTAAAACAGCACTGGAGGAACCTTCTGGAAGATAGCCCTAGTACAGCAGAAATGCAATCCTATGCATGCAATCCTATGCACGTGTAGTTGGGAGCAAGCATCATTGAACAATGTGGACCTACTTCTGAGTAAACATGTACAGGATTGCACTATATGTAGGAAACCAGCATGGAGAGCTATCTAGACTAACTGTCATACTTTGTAGTCTCTAAATGTGAAGCATGTGCTCAGCTTCACTCTGACTCTGGGCTTTTGTATAACCTGCTGCCAATCTCACAAGGCAGGGATGTCCCCTCTCTCCACTATTATTTATCTTTATAATTGAGTCAATAATTGATAAAATAAGATCTAATGAAATGATAAGAGGGCTGAGAGTAAAAGGAGAAGAATACAAGGTACAGGCCTTTGCTGATGATTTGATATTTATACTCGAAGATCCTTTAATAAAAGATATAAAAGAATTTGGAGAACTAGCTGGGTTTAAGATAAACATCCAAAAAACTAAGATAATAGTGAAAAATTGCTCCCAAAGACTGATAACAAGGTTAAAGGAGATATCCGAAATGGAAGTAGTGCACAAAAGCAAAATATTTAGGTATTTGGTGGCACGCATACATGTGGTATGGAAAAGATAAAATCCATTCTAGTTTCCATACAAACATAATAAGAACCGCCTTAATGAAATCCTGGAATATTATAAAACACAAATTTTATAATAAAACCCCTCCATGGATTTCCCCCCTAGAAGCATTTATAAATCCTTCTATAATGATTGGAGAACCCAAACTAACTTATGGTACCCTGTAAAATGAAAAAATGGAACTCAAAAAGGAGGACTTATTAAGAAAACAAAATATCAAATTAACTTGGTGGGACAAGAATATAATTAATACTAGATATATGATTGATAAAAAAACAGGTTTCTGCATAAATCAAAATGAAATAGATAAGATCTGACTCTCCTCCAATGATAAGTTAATTCAAAAATTATACTCTAAGTTACTGGAGGAAGAATTAGAAAAAGAAACCATTAAAAAGTCAATGATAACCTGGAATAAAGAGATAGGGACTACTCTAAACGCGAACCAATGGAATAAAACGTGGAGATCAATAAAATATATGAAGGCGACATCATATAAAGAAAATATCTATAAAATGTTCTACAGGTGGCACTGGACCCCTGATAGAATTGCCAAATGTTTCCCCAAAGCTTCCAATCTATGTTGGAGATTTGGGAAGAACGTAGGTACATATCTCCATATTTGGTGGAGATGTGATAAAATACAACCCTACTGGAAAAAAATCCATAAAATCCTCTTAGAAATACTTAAAACAAATGTCCCCTTAAAACCCGAAATATACTTACTAAACATGATTCCGGATAAAATAAAAAACCACAAACGCATAATAATATATATTCTAACAGCAGCAAGAATTTTGATAGCGAGACGGTGGAAGTCGAAAGCCATACCATCTATAAGAGAACTTAAACATAAGATCTTGGACATTGCAGAAATGGATAAATTAAGCTTAGCATTAAATAACAAACCAGAAAATGCATTTTGGAAAAGATGGAAAATTGTATACGACTGGCTAAAGCATAAAAGAAGAATATGAAATACTAGTGAAAACTATGTTAAAGTTAAAACAAAGACTCTCAGAGATGTATAAATCTTTAACTTATCTCATGTATATAGATTTTGTGAAATGTAAAGGTGAAAAATTGGAAAATAAATTTATTAAAAAAAAAAACCTGCTGCCAATCTAACACTGTAATCTTTTCTTCATTACAAGACATTATTTATTAAATTAGATTTCTAAACTGTCCTTCCCTGTCAGGGCTGGCTCGCTCACTAGGTGAACTAGGCATTCGCCTAGAGCGCGCCAACCCTTCCTTCTGGAAGATAGCCCTAGTACAGCAGAAATGCAATCCTATGCATGCAATCCTATGCACGTGTAGTTGGGAGCAAGCATAATTGAACAATGTGGACTTACTTCTGAGTAAATATGTACAGGATTGCACTGTATGTAGGAAACCAGCATGGAGAGCTATCTAGACTGACCGTCATACTTTGTAGTCTCTAAATGTGAAGCATGTGCTCAGCTTCACTCTGACTCTGGGCTTTTGTATAACCTGCTGCCAATCTCACAAGGCAGGGATGTCCCCTCTCTCCACTATTATTTATCTTTATAATTGAGTCAATAATTGATAAAATAAGATCTAATGAAATGATAAGAGGGCTGAGAGTAAAAGGAGAAGAATACAAGGTACAGGCCTTTGCTGATGATTTGATATTTATACTCGAAGATCCTTGGGGCCAGCCCTGTTCCCTGTGGAACATTAAAACATGTAGTCAGTAAAAGAAATTTTAAACAGTAGTAGCCTGTCCAACATTATTAGTTTAAAATATGGTGCTTGTAGACTCTTAGAAGATGTGGGGCTTGAATTGAATTTTGGTGATTAAGAGGAGCCAACCATTTTTAAACAGTAGTAGCCTGTCCAACATTATATGGTGGCTTGTGGACTTTTAGAAGATGTGGGGCTTGAATTGAATTTGGGTGATTAAGAGGAGTCAACCATCATTTAGGTATTTGGATATCAGATAACACCGCAAAGTTGTATGAAAATAACTACCAAAAACTAATAACCGAAATTAATGCAGACTTGAAAAATTGGGGACAAAAACATCTGTCCTTATTGTCATCTTAAAAGTTTCTCACATGTGAGTAAGGAATGTATCTAATTGTGCTCCTACTGGGTAATTTCTGAATGATTTAAAGTATCATGTTTAAATGCCTATGCTTTATTTCAGCATTGCTTGAGCTCCATAGCGGGTTTTTTCTTGTTTTCAAATTTCTGCAAGCCAAACCCTCTTACATTGTTTATTGGATGTCACAGCCATTGATCATATTGACTTACACTGTGTATTTTTATTTTATTTTATTCAATTTGTATCCCATTCCCATCCCTCCAAGCAGGGCTCTGGGCAGGTTCTAACTATTCATACATCATACAAATATAATACAATTTAAAATCATCCACAGCATTAATACTATAAAACCCAATATTTCTTAGCCTAACATGGCATAATCTGCCTTGAGTCTCAGTGAGAAAGGTGGACTATAATAACATAAGTCAAATAAAATAATAAATTATGAAACGTGGTGACCTCTGCGTTTTATGAGGTACAATCATCTTGGACTATCCTGAAAAAAATATGAAGAAACTACATACTCAGATCACTGAAGAGCCAAAATGTATACCATCAGAAAGGAACAAGTGAGTTGAAAAGCATGGATTTCCCCCCTAGAAGCATTTATAAATCCTTCTATAATGATTGGAGAACCCAAACTAACTTATGGTACCCTGTAAAATGAAAAAATGGAACTCAAAAAGGAGGACTGAAGAGCCAAAATGTATACCATCAGAAAGGAACAAGTGAGTTGAAAAGCCAACCCCACTGTAATGTATCCAGTCCAGACAAGTCCAGAGACAAACGCGGAGCTTAGCTCCAAGAGACAGTGGACTATGCGGATCCTAGCCCGCTCCAATTAGGGGGCTAGGTTCCCGGCCGAGAGCCTATGGGACTCTCGGCCACTGTAAATAACCTATAAGAAAGTAAGGGTGTGTTTTGGGGTGGTGGTTTCTCGGGGGACATAAGCCGGCCTGTGAGCCGGCCAAAGTCGTCTTGTTCCTGACCGAATAAAGTACGCTTTGCTGAAATCACTCTCCGTCTGCGTACTTTTCACCCACCATCTGGAACCTGTCACAACTTACATCTGCATCTCATGGAGCCAGCGTAAAGTTCTGGCTGCATTTCGTCCATCATTAAAATGTGGTGTTTCTTTCCCATAAAGATTAAACCTTTTGAACGTAGATGGGTCATATTTTCTATTCATGGGCTCCCCTGTGGAAGATAAGAATCATCATTTACTGGTGCCACATGCACACTAAAAACAAGCAAAAACAAAGATCTAAATTATCTGTTTAAGTCCCAAGCCATCATTAAGCTTGATAAAAGGCAATTCCAAAATATCACAGCAGAGAGGAAACATACTAGGCAGCTACCAGTATAGGCCTGGATCCAGCAATGTGCAAATATAAATAGACTTAGCACATTTCTGTATGTGCAAGCACTGTCAACCTCCAAGTTGGACCTTGAGTTTTCCTGAAATTACAACTCATCTTCCTGACTATGGAGATCAGTTCCCCTTGAGTAAATGGCAGCTTCAGAGGGTGGACTATATGGAATCATACCCCTACTGACCGCCTTCCCCAGACTCCCCAGGCCCCACCCACAAGTCTCCAGGTATTTTCCAAGCCAGAGTTTTTTCCTCCCCATATATTATAGTGCCCAGAAAGTGACTGCACAAGATCTTTTTCAAGAAACACAACTGGGAATACGTCTGGCTTAGTTTAAGCAACTACTATAATACTCTCATTTGCACAAGAGCTTCTGTGGAATGAGAAATTTTGCACTGGACCCAATCCACAGGTCCCCTCGTATATTATAGTAATATCTAGAGGGTGAAGTCCTCATTCCAAATACAACAGCTTTTCTAAAAAGTGGCAGTCTGCTTTGCATTATACTTTGTAGCAGGAGGGGTAAGCATAAGCAAACTATAAACAACTAAATTTAACCACTGTCAATATCTAGATTTTTTTTTTATTTAACAAACACTCTCTTGCCCTTACTCACCAACAGAATAATCATTGTGAGATGCAACATACAATTCATGCCCGTCGAGTGCTTCTTTATTGACTTCTTCAAATGTCTTTGGTGGATTTATAACTTCTCCACCAGGCCCCTCTGCAAGTAATCCAATACAAGTAATGAAATAATCTGATCAAAATAATTGCTGAGTAAAGATCTGTGGGCCGTTTTCACAGCTGGAATCATTCTCATCACACAACACAGGAATGAAAACAGCTAAGCTAGTACCAAAGGACTCGTGATAACTTTATGTGAGCAGACCTTGTTCCCACAGCTTGCAAGAGACCCGGCAGTATATCTGAGCCACAAAGCATGTTAGAGACTTCATGTCATACTAGACTCATGTATATTAGGGATTAAGCCTACCCTTCCTGCTCCAACTCCATTACATTCCTTTGAAGGTCTGAAAACAACTCTGCATGCATATAATTATATTTATGTGGGCTCTGAATGCATGATTTGGAAGTCTGTAATCCAACCTTCTGCTGAGTTGGCAGAGTTGGAGTTGGGGGGTTTTGAAGTCTGAACATGGCTAACATGTATGTCTTATCATGGGGTAGCATCAAGTTTCTGCAGCTGTGTACTGGGTGTGATTTTTAAAAATCTGCTATTTAAAAAAAGTAATCTATTTAAAAAAATCGTAAGATGTGTAGACTACTTTATGCACTTGTAATGGCAATGGGTTCTGACAGCCTTTCTGCCCAGGGTGCCTTCTTCTAGGTCTCTCTTGCTTCCCTCTCAACAATGAGAGAGCTGCCATCCCATCTACATCCTGGTTGACTAGAGGCAAAGACTGAAGTCAGTGTCCTGGTTCTTCCTTCCTTTTTCTCCCTAGCAGTTTTTGAAGGGGGAAGAACATCCACCACTAGAGTGTAAGGGAAAAGCCAAGAAGCTGTTCCTATACACATGGGGCCAAGAAAAGGCATTTTTGTATGTATTTAAATTCTGTTGAACTCTGCTTATACTGCTTTTATTAATTTACGATGCTGTGAAACTTGACTTCTCTAATTAATGCAATTTAATTTTAAATTGTTCAGACTGATGCAGTCTTGGTTGACTGCCTTTTGGTACATTCTTAGCAGAAGGCTGGTTTTAGTACAATAGCATTTTGAAGAACAGTATGAGGTATAACAAATTCCACAATAAATCATAATTATTCTATATGAGAGTGAACAATGGTGTTGCGCTACTAGTTCTGCTACCTCTGATGGTTGCTACTCCAAATGTCGTGTTAGTCAAATCCAGTCCTTTAGGTAACCTTGACACCAGATCATGGCACTTCCCGAGGGGTGCTTCACGATTGCTCAGATAAACAGATTCTTTCTTCTCTTTCAGTTTTTGTTGAAAGCATGTTTTGGGAGGTGGATTTGTCAGTAAGGCTGCCTGAAGATATTTCAGATAGGAAGAGATACAAACAAACATTCGGCACTTTCAAAAGGGATACTACTGCATAAATCCTATTTGCTTTTTGAAACACTAGTGCTAACTACACTGATCAATACAGCTAAGCCACGCCTTTTATTTAATGTCTCGCTATCATAACATTTTGAAGTGGATAACTATGCTTCACTTAATTACTATTTCTGAAAAGTCATTATTCAGGGAAAGTATCGAACGTCAATATAACGCTAGCTCAACTTATGAAAAATGCAACAACCGACATTTCATCAGACACTAACTGCAATTATCTCTGGAATACCTCATCTATTTGTAATAGTGAAACATTTTTATTTGGAAAAAAGACTGCAAACAAATGATTAAAAATAACCGACAACCCCATTTACACCGTACATTTTAAAGAAAATGGACTGAGGCTACAGTCCTAAGAACACTTTCCCGGGTTTAAGCCCAATGAATAAAATGGGACTCACTCCCATAAATATAGTTTCAGGTGGGTAGGCATGTTAGTCTGAATAGCAAGACGTGAGTCTGGTTTCAGGTGGGTAGGCATGTTAGTCTGAAGTAGAATAGCAAGACGTGAGTCCGGTAGCACCTTAAAGACGTACAAGATTTCCAGGATATAAGCTCTGAGTCAAAGCTTACTTCACTGGACACAAGTAGGAACTACATATATCTGACAAGGGGAGCTTATACCTATGGTTGCCAGTTCTGGGTTCGGAAATACCTGGAGATTTTGGGGGTGGAATCTGAGGAGGGTGGAGTCTGGGGACGGGAAGGACTTAAGTGGGGTATAATGTCAGAGACCCCACCTTCCAAAGCAGCCATTTTCTCCAGGTGAACTGATCTCTGTCGCCTGGAGATCAGTTGCAATCCCCCCTGGAGCTGGCAACCCTACAAAATCCTGTTGGCCTTTAAGGTGCTACTGGACTCCAATCTGGATATAAATATCAGTTGTACTCCTACATGGGAAAGGTATGCCCATGTTCCTCCCTTAATCAAAAATACATTTCAAAATCATACAAATAAATGGGGTATTTTTGCTGAGAAAAAAAAGATTTAAAATCCTTACCTTTATTGATGGTATGGTTTTTACACCATGTGTCAAACAAGATGCAATATCAGGGTCGTTTGCTCGACCATAAAATATTCTTTCTCTCCCAAGGAGTGGATACGTGGTGTTTCGAAACTTTTTTACAACAGGTGGAGTAAGTGGCTATAAGGCAATAGGAAAACTGTTTATCAGACATCCTGTATGGCAAACATCACTAACGGTCATAAGTGGCTTTAGATTCCTGTGCAACTAATGTCCAAATATCTGAAGAATAATTCACTAACAGGGCATCCCTAGCATGGATCCATGTTCTCACAATTGAAAAAAAAAAAATTACCGATTTCAAATTTTGTGTTTTTCATTCTTTCTAAAATGCATTTATGTTTGAAAATTGGTTTGCGCAGGGGGGGGGGGCGCCAGAAGGTAGCCTCACTTAGTGTACAAAAAACCCTGTTCACTAAGAACTATTACTAATAAAAGACCACCTCAAAACAAAAGAAATAAAGTTCACCCAGAGAAGCAATGGAGCTTTTACAGAATGACAGAGCCCAGGCTTCCATATTATGATCATTACTGTTCAGAAGTACAGAACTGTAATTAGTATTGCAAATGTGTCCTGCATCTTGTGCCTCCTGTTCTTTTGTTGAAAGACAGAACCAGAATTAAAATAGAAGGAACACAGGGTACGCCAAAACAAAAAGGACTTTGTGGCACCTTAAAAACAAACGGATTTATTGTGGCATATGCTTCCATGGACTTCATCCGTAAGAAGCATACCACAGTATAATGAAGTCTGGTCAGTGCACAATGTGCAAGATTTTATACAGACCAACTGTTGTAGCAACCATTCACACCAAACCTTGAGTTTCTTTAATGAAGTACCAAATTTTACACATACAAAGAAATCCTTGAACTGGAAAGCAAATAATATATTATAGGCAATTTTCTGTAGTATACTTCTTTGGAGGGGGCAAGGTTAAGACAAGGAACACAAGGATTCCCCTTTCTGTTTCAGAGGGTAGTCGTGTTGGTCTGCAGTACAACAGTTAGATTTGAATCTAGTAGCATCTTAGAGACCAACCCTGAAAATCTATTTGGTCCCTGAAGTGCTACCAAACTCAAATTGTTTGTATCCCTACATTATCTTCAGGAAACAACTATCAGACCCTTCTCAGATGATTTAGAGTCAGTGTGGTATAAGCATGCTTGATTAGGACCTGGGAGACCCGTGTTCAAATCACCACTCTGCTCTGAAGCTTATTGGGTGATGTTGGACCAGTCATTCTCTCTCAGCCTAATGTTTCTCACAGGGTTGCTATGAGGAGAAAATGGAAGAAAACAGAACTATGTTCAATGTCCTGAATTCCTCAGAAAAAGGGCAGGACAAAATGTGACAGATTTTTAAAACAGATTTTCTGTTGATTCATTCTAATGCCAACTGCCAGGAAGAAAGGTTGTTTATACAGTACTCAGATCTGTGGAGGTATGAAAATCAAGACTTTCTTGGCACTGGTCAGACATCTCCCATGTTTTGCTTTTCTCAGTGAGTAGGGGCCATTTCTCTGAAACGGTTAGCTTCAAATGGGAGCAGGAAGCCCATTAGATACCCAATCTCCAGATCAATGTTTCTGTGAGATATGTTCTGAAAGAACATGCTACCTGATATGCTATTTAAACCAAACCAAAAAAAAAAAATGTGCATCCCTATGAGGTTTTCATAATAACAAAACAACTGGCAACCACTGTATGAAAGCAAGCATGCAGGAAACTACTGCTATCCTGGATCTACTACAGCCAATACTAAAAACTTCACCTCACACATAACCCTAAACACACTTTTCAGCTTCATTTATATTGTTTGTTCATGTATGTGAATGTTGCTAATGTGTAGTAGAAAGCCTAAAATAAAGAAAGCAGAATGTACTGTGGCCATTTAGATAGCAACTGCCTACAGCAGTTGGTATATGGGAAGAACTTTCAATAATCAATAGAGAAACATAAAGAACAGGGTACTTACTCGGGGTAAGATTTCTGTGAGACAACTAGAAGCTGTTTCTCCAATTGGTACCAATTTTCCAGCCTGTAAAAAGCAAGCAGAGACCCTGTAGATGAGGACAAGAGACCACAAGACTATGTTCATCTCACAAATCTCTCTGAGGATGAGTGACTTTAATTTCGGAATTGCTTACGTACGATGATAGCAAAGCTTTATCCCAGTGAGTATTGGCATAAGCATTCCTCCATTCATGGATGTACAGATCCTGTTATCATTCATTTGCATACTGCCTTTCCCTCTCCCCAAACACCTAGCACCCTGAGTGGAGGCAAGATATATCTGAGCAAGTGCAGGATGCATTTCCATCAAGTTCTCTACATGATCTCGGGCTAGTTACAATACTGATACTGCAGCATAGTCTAGGCTGTGAGAATAAAATGGGGAGGGCCTTGCACACCACCCAGAGCTCTTTGGAGAATTGTAACAACCACTGCTAATTATATCTTCACTTCTCAATATATGCACACAGCAAACCTCTAATAAGGAGCCAGACTGCATGCACACATTGTTGGATACTGCATTACACAAGTAATTGTATCTGCAACAGAATTTTCCTGAGTAGACAAGCCAATTCAGTAACAACTTATTGCCGCTGTGCAATATCCAACAAGAATAATTTCTGGTCAGATTTTAACCTTAGCCAGTTTTAGCAACGTATCTCTAAATCCTTTTGGAGAATCAAAGAAGACTATCCTTGTCACTCTGGGCAATGACCCTGGCTCCCTCCCCTCTATCGTGTTTTGGGGAATCAAAGAAGAAGCCTGAGTGGAAGAGATGAGTTTTGCTCTTTCAGCAGAACACATCAAGGGAGAAAGCAATTCGAGGAAAGGGGGAACAGAGAGTAGGAGCAGTCTGCCAAGACTCACTGTGGGGAACTCTGGAAATCTGTCGACAAACCTCCCTCGATACACTGGCCCAACGGCCCCGCCCAGCCCCTTGACGGGGTTCCCCCCCACCATCCCGACGGAAGGGACTCGGCTCGCAGCGAAGCCCCAACCGCTGCAGCATCCGCAGGGAACCGGCTGTTTACTCCGGTAACTTAGCAACGGGGTGAGAAAGCCGCTTCAGAGGCTCCTCTGTGGGCAGGGGAGGGGAAACGCGGCCCGGACTCGAAGCCTGTGCTTCCGTGCTTATTGTTGTCCTTTGTGATACCGCCCTCAGATCCCAGAGTCTAATTTGCAAAAACAGAAGGGCTGGTGATGTAGGGCTGTCAGCCTCCAGGTAGGAGGCTGATCCTATACTATACTACTGATCCTATACTAAAGAGATCAGAGTTGCCCTAGAGGAAATGGCTGCTTTGGAGGATGGACTATATGGAATTATACCCTGTTGAAATCCCTCCCCACCCCAAACCCAGTCTCCAGGAATTTCTCAAGGCAGAGTTGGCAAGGCTATGATGAAGGCTGGTGCGATCTTAAATACTAGGGAGTAAGTCTTGTAGGAATTATTTCTATGTCTTCAGGATTGCACTGCAAGGGTAGGTCGAAGACTCTATTACACAGAGTGAGCTGAGGAAAGCTGTGTGCTATAGTGGTGAGAGGAAAACACCCTGCACATGCTCAATGTGACAGAATCCTTGCCTTTTGTTGTCTTGTTCCCCAGGATCCAAAGGTGGCCCACAGCTAAAAATAAATTGCAGGGTTAACATATTTTAATGTCCTGTTGGTTGTACTCACAATTGGGGTGGTTAAAGAAAAGTAGACTTATCTGGGTTTTCAGTTCATGATTATTGTGGAAAATGAACTTTGTCTGGAATTTAAAGTCATTTTTAACACATCCCTGTCCTCTAATAGATCTAAAAAAACTACCACATACTGGTTCCACACCTACAACCCTTAATGCAGATATGAATCTAACTATGAATTGAAAGGATGGAAACCTCGTTACCATCACTTAACTATCCTTGTGACCTTTAATCACATTAGGTGACCTTGAAAATGATCCCACATTTAAAACATGAAAGAAATTCAGGGTAGTTATAACAGATAATTAAGAAGAATAAAGTAAGTGACTTTGTATATATGATGAAGAATTTCCAATTGTCAACATTAATCTTCTGTAGTTATATATCTCTTTCTATGGTTAAAATAATCCCCTAGGAACAACAAAACACCTGAGTAATTCTAAGTAACTGGCGAAAAGGAAAGCCATGTGTTTTCAGGTATCCATGAATGGCTGTTTTGTTTTGTTTTTAAATGAATCCCTCATACAATGAAACAAAGGGCAATCAAACAGGTAATGTCACAGATCCTTGTTTCCAGAAAACCAGCAACTTCAATATTTACTCTTCAGTATGAAAGCAGACATTAACTGAAATCCTACCATAGTAAAGACTTGAGAAGAATGAAGAGTTCCAAATAATCTTCTAATCAAGGAGCAATCTTCATTATATTTAAGAATGTATAAACATGCATTTAAGAGATTTGGGAGGAACCATCTTTTCTGTAACTGTTCAATAATCCTAATTGTATTTACACAAGAGCATTAAAGTTTGTTCAGGATCGCTGAGCTACATTAAAGGGGCTAACTGTTCACTTCCACTATGCAAAATTATTTGCAAGGACTGTATGAAAGAAAGAAATCTCGAGTGATATCTGGATCATATACATGTGTTTTGATACATGCATATACAAAGGAATAATTTATACATAGAGTATTCTTTATTATTTATTTATAAAGGTTCTTGTTTATTTCACCAGGCAAAAATGAAATGTTTAACTTTAGAGTTCTGTTGCTTTCAGGATCAATCGTATGCAGTAAAGGGAGATTTGATTTTATAAAGTACATTTATCCTGTATTTGAAAACCATTAGATGGTGTTGCAGTGACATATCCCTCGCAACTTGTCATTATAATGGGCAGAGGGAGGGAAGGCAGCATAGTGTAGTTTGACTTTGGTCAGTACTTGGAAGGGAGACCACCGAGGAAGACTCTGCAGGGGAAGGCAATGGTAAACCACCTCTGCTTCTCACTTGCTTTGAAAGTCCCTTGCTGGGGTCGCTATAAGTCAGCTACAACTTGACAGTATTTAGACACACATAGATAATGGGCAGGACAGTGGAGATAGGCCTGTATCTTTTATCCCTCGTAGTGCCATCTTAAGCAGATCTAGTCAGAATCCTACTCAGGTCTATTCAGCTGGGCTTACTCCCAGGAAAGTGTTCTTGGGTTTGTACTTTCAGTGGAGGTAGAATCATTCTGCTACTGAGGTGGGAGGTATTTTCTTTCAAACACAATGGAGTAACCAGATGGAGCAACACCGAAATCAGATTGACTATATAATTTGCAGTCAAAGATGGAGAAGCTCTATCCAGTCAGTAAAAACAAGACCTGAGCTGACTGTGGCTCAGATCATGAGCTACTCATCGCAAAATTCAGACTTAAACTGAAGAAAATTGGGAAAACCACTAGGCCATTCAGGTTTGGCCTAGATCGCATCCCTGATGAATATACAGTAGAGGTGAAGAATAGATTCAAGGGTCTAGATTTGATAGATAGAGTGCCTGAAGAACTATGGACGGAGGTTCGTGACATTGTACAGGAGGCAGCAATCACCACCATCCCAAAGAAAAAGAAATGCAAGAAAGCAAAGTGGCTGTCTGATGACAAATAGCAGAGGAAAGAAGGAAAGCGAAAGGCAAAGGCGAAAAGGAAAGATTTACCCAACTGAATGCAGATTTCCAGAGAACAGCAAGGAGAGATAAGGAGGCCTTCCTGAATGAACAATGCAAAGTAATAGAGGAAAACAATAGAATGGGAAGGACTAGAGATCTCTTCAAGAAAATTGGAGAAATAAAGGGAGCGTTCCATGCAAAGCTGGCCATGATAAAGGACAAAAACGGTAGGGACCTAACAGAAGCAGAAGAGATTAGGAAAAGATGGCAAGAATACACAGAAGAACTATACAAGAAAGACCTCGATGTCCTTGACAACCACGACGGTATAATCACTGACCTCGAGCCAGACATCCTGGAATGTGAAGTTAAATGGGCCTTAGAAAGCATTACTAACAACAAAGCTAGTGGAGGTGATGGTATCCCAGCTGAGCTATTCAAAGTCTTAGAAGAGGATGCTGTTAAAGTTCTGCACTCCATTTGCCAGCAAATTTGGAAAACGCAACAGTGGCCACAGGATTGGAAAAGATCAGTATACATTCCAATCCCAAAGAAGGGCAATGCCAAGGAATGTTCAAACTATCGCACAATTGCACTCATATCACACGCTAGCAAGGTCATGCTCAAGATCCTACAAGCTAGGCTTCAACAGTACGTGGATAGAGAACTACCAGAAGTACAAGCTGGGTTTCGAAGAGGTAGAGGAACGAGAGATCATATTGCCAACATTCGCTGGATTATGGAGAAAGCAAGAGAGTACCAGAAAAATATCTACTTCTGCTTCATTGACTATGCTAAAGCCTTTGACTGTGTGGATCACAACAAACTATGGCAGGTCCTTAAAGAGATGGGAGTACCAGACCACCTCACATGTCTCTTGAGAAACCTGTATAAGGGCCAAGAAGCGACAGTTAGAACCGGATACGGAACAACTGATTGGTTCAGCATAGGAAAAGGAGTACGACAAGGATGTATACTGTCACCTTGCTTATTTAATATATATGCAGAGTACATCATGCGAAATGCTGGCCTGGATGAATCACAAGCGGGAATTAAGATTGCTGGGGAAAAGATCAACAACCTCAGATATGCAGATGATACCACTCTAATGGCTGAAAGTGAAAAGGATCTAAAGAGCCTCTTGCTCAGAGTAAAAGAGGAGAGCGCAAAAGTGGGCTTGAAGCTCAACATCAAAAAAACTAAGATCATGGCATCCGGCCCCATCACTCCTTGGCAAATAGAAGGGGAAGCTGTGGAAGTAGTGACAGACTTCACGTTCCTGGGATCCCAGATCACCGCAGACTGTGACTGCAGCCATGAAATTAAAAGACGCCTGCTCCTTGGGAGGAAAGCGATGGCGAACCTAAACAGCATGATAAAAAGTAGAGACATCACCCTGCCAACAAAAGTCCGCATGGTCAAAGCAATGGTATTCCCAGTAGTCATGTATGGCTGTGAGAGTTGGACTATAAGGAAGGCCGAGCGCCGAAGAATAGATTCTTTTGAACTATGGTGCTGGAGAAGACTCTTGAGAGTCCCTTGGACTGCAAGAAGAACAAATCAGTCAATCCTCAAAGAAATCAACCCTGACTGTTCCCTGGAAGGCCAGATAATGAAACTGAAGCTCAAATACTTTGGCCACCAAATGAGAAGGGAGCACTCACTGGAGAAGACCCTGATGCTGGGAAAGATTGAAGGTCAAAGAAGACGGGGATGGCAAAGGATGTGATGGTTAGACAGTGTCATAGATGCAACAAACATGAAACTGAGCAAACTTCAGAGGATGGTGGAAGACAGGAAGGCCTGGTGTGATCTGGTCCATGGGGTCGCGAAGAGTCGGACTCGACTGTGTGACTGAACAATAACAACCACAACAAAACCAGATACAGCACTTAATTTCCACCCATGAGATTTGTATGTGTGTGGTGCTTAAAGATGTACATGCAAGAACACCGATAGGATGAGGACTAAACTGTGCAGTCCTATGGTGAATAATGTAACTCTGTATAGGATCGCACTGTAAGGTACAAGATCTAAACCTGC